GAGACTTCTTAGAAGCTACAGGCTGCTATGCACCCAAGAAGAGTCTTCACTCCTGCAAGTATTTATCAATTAGATAACCTTATAGAGGCTCTAGAGAGCCCTGTTATCTTGTCTGGCCTTAGTTTGCTTCGATCTCTCGGTTTCCCTTCTAGATAGTATGTACAGGTGAAGGAAGACTGTCTGGGTCAGGAGAGTGATCATTGATGCCTTTTTCCTCTGCTAAGAGCACGCACCATGAAAATAACAGTTTAGGTTTTCATCTAACCAGCAGAGGTCACTATTGCCTAACAATATTTGTCTGAAGCACCATTTAGTCAGTTTAGAAATTAAGGGAATGTTAACATTTTTTTTTTTTTCTCACTAGGTGGCAGATCCTTCATTAAAAACTGTTTCTGTGGGCTCGTGACTGATTACCCCTTTATGCCAAGGTCTCCTTCACCCTTCTTGACCCCTGAATGCCCACACGAGTCTGTAGTCGCCATCACTATACCCTTTTATCCTACTGGGGTCCTCACTTTTCTGCTTTTTACGGTCTCCTTCCCATACTCTGGTGACTGGACCTTAGTCTGCCCCACTAATCATTTTAAGACGATTCGATATTGGAAAGAAAAAAGGAGAAAAAGTGCTGTGCCTCTATTTTCAGATGATCTTTGGGTATCTAGGGAGAATGAAATATAAGGACCCAGGGTACAGCAGGGAACCCACTTAAAGTGCTCTTGTTTAAGTGTGAGAAGAAATGGTGACTTGGGCTGAGGTGATAGCAATGATGTGGTGGAAGATGGTGAACTTCTGAAAATATTCTGAAAACAAAGCTGACAAGACTTGCTGATGAATTAGATGTCTGGGCACGAGACAAAGAGATGGGTCCTGGGCCTTTGACATAAACAACTGGTAAATGCTAATGCTAGTTACCTACTTAGAGAAGATAAAAAGTTGAGCTGGAGTTAAGGAATCAGAAGTTTTCTTTTGGGTATGATTTTTATGTTTTTAAAGTTAATTTTAAAAGTTATAACATACAGTAATGAGTTTCATTATGGTAATTTCATATATACATATATATGAATACATATGTATATACCATGGTAGCTTTTATTTACCCCTCTCATACAGCTCTCTCTCATTCCCTCTGTCTCTCTATTCTCTTCCAAATAGACCTCACTTCTGCTTTGATGTCACATGACACTATTACCTTCTCTATTCCCCTTTCTTCTGCCTCCATAAAAATCTCTTCTTCCTCTTTCATGATCTCCTTTTGTACAGGCACACACACACACACACACACACACACACACACACACACACACTTAAATCTAGATTCTGCATATGAGAAAAACTGTGTTTGTTTGAGTCTGAATTATTTGATCTCCATTTCTTATAAATGTCATTATTTCTTTTTTCCTCATGGTCACAAAGAAATTCATTGTGTATATGTACCCATTTTCTTACCATTCATTGGCTAATGGAGATCGAGGTTGGTTTTATTTCTTAGCCTTTGTGAATAGTTCAGCATTAAACATAGATGTGCAAATAGCTCTGTGAAAAGCTGACTTAGCATCCTTCGCCACCTACCCAGAAGTGGTACGATCATATGGTATGGCTGGATCATACGGCAAATCCATTTTTAGGTTTTGGAGGAACATTCACTGAGGTTTCATCAGTTTCTGTTCTAGTTCAAGGGTTTTAATATTTCTACATTGATTTCTTGCTTTGTGGCCTAGAATGTGGTCTATCTGAAAGAAGACAGGGTTGCTGAGAAAAATGCGTATTCCATACCTGTTGGGTGGAATATTCTGCAGATGTCTACTAAGTCCATTTGATCTATTAGTATAGTTTAACTCAGAAGGTTTTTTTTGTTTTTGGTTTTTTAGTTTGGATGATCTACATAAAGGTAAAATGAGATATTGAAGTCACCCACCAACAGATAGGTGGCTCCAGAGGTGATCCACCTGCTGACTCCAGGCTCAGAGCCTTCGCACTCCAGTGCTATTCTAAGTTGGTGAGATCTGTTTCTGGCCACCAAGGGTGTGTTATACACCCCAGTGCCTGTTCTGAGCCTCCTGTCTACTCTTCAGCTTGTCACCTCTACCCTGACACTCTACACAGTGACTGCCATCCAAGCTCACTGACTCGTGGTTCCCTAGGGTGACACAGTTTTAAGCAATAGGTTCCCTTTCAAGATTGTGTTGAGTCACTACTCGCCCAGTCATGTAGAGTGATAAAATGAGATTCCTGTCCACTGCTGACCTGTCCACTGTCTCAACAAAACCTTTGACGGGATTTAGGGCTTATGAGTGCTGTGGCCTTGTCTGGAAGTTGGGACTACTCTTTATTTTTTACCAGAGATGCCTGGCTATATTTTTAGGTGGAGCTCCTGCCCAGCCCCTCCTCTCACCAGGGAGCCTTGCAGCTGGAGCCATGTTCAGCTTGACTTCTTTTCAGCATCTCACTAGTACCTTTCCAGTTGTTCTATCATTATCTTCGTAAATTTCTGAATTTTTCCTCTTTTGTCTTTGGAAAGTGTGTATTCTTTTTTGTCCTGACTCTTCTCCATAACTGGACACAGGAAGACTGCTTCTAGCCTGCTACCTTATCCAGATGAAGGTGTCTACTTTTGGATTTCTAATGTCTAAAAATGATAGGCAGTGAAAAATCAAATTGGAAGTTATATATTCAAGATGAAAGCTCAAGGAAAAACTAGGAGATATAAATTTGAGGGGTCTTAACATCTAAGTAGTTGGTAAAGCCATAACATTGGTTGACTTCGCTGAAGGAGTGGGTACAGATAGAGCAGATCCAAGGGCATTTAATTTTAGAGTTCAGAAAATGTTAGGGTAGGATCCAGCCAAGGAGACTGTGAGGAGGGAAACCAGAGAGCAGAGCACCAGAAGCTGGGGGAAAACAATGGTTTAAGAAGAGAAAGAAGCCAGCTGTGGTGGTTCACACTTGTAATCTGAGCACTCAACAGGCTGAGGTAGGCAGAGCTGTAATTTCTAGGCGGTTACACTTTGATTTCTAGCCAGTCTGGGCTATCATGGGATAAAGCAGGATAGGGAAGAAGCCCCTCACTCTAGACTCTGGGTAGGAGTCTGTTGTGATTTGAATATTAATATCCCCTATAGACTTCAGTGTTTGAACGCTTGGTCCCCAGACACTGTTTGGGAAGGTTATAGAACCTTTAGGAAGTGGAGCCTTGCTGAAGGAGGTCACTGGGAGAAGAATATGAGGTTTTATAGCTTGGCTGCACTTCCTGTTCTTGCCTCCTGCTTCCTGTGTGCAGATGAAATGTGATCAGCCAGCCCCCTGTTCCTGCTGCCACACCTGCCTGTTGCCGTGCCTTCACTGTCATAATTGACTATATCTTCAGTTGGATAAAGATATCCCTGGATCTTCAAGCCAAATAAATCCTTTATTCCCGAACTTGCTTTTTCTTGTATTTGTTGCTCTTTTTATCATAGCAACACAAAGTACCAATGTAGTTTCAAAAACTTCAACACAACTGATAAAATCAAAATTGCCTACAAAGATAGTGCTTCTTTTCCTAAAGACACCACAGACAAGGATGTGGAAAACACACTATGCTATTCTGGCTCTAAAGCCAGAATGTTTGTGGCCTTGAGTTGAAGTGTGTTAATACTCCTCTTTCCCTAAATCTAGATACTGTGACTCATAAAAGTACCTTTCAATTTCATTAATGCAAGGAAATCCTTTAAGAGAACTAATCCCACTCATATATTTTTGCTTAAGTCTTAAACTTTAAGTTTTGCTTAATCTTTAAACCTTCTTGTAAAGTACATCCTTTGAGTAATGTAACTTGGAAACCTAAAGAATCGCATATATGTCATTGTAAAATCACCTGTGTCTCTCTTGAAGAGCCCACACTCACGCACCAGTGTACAATGTTCCTTTCATCTATCTAAATAATAAACTCACTGATTTTTCTTTTCTGCAGCACAGTCAAGGATCTGATGCTTTACTAAATTGTAATCCCTAAGTGGAGCCTCCTCAAGCTGGTAGGCGGTGCTAGACTCTTCTGACGCCCACTGACAATGAGGCCCCAGGAAAAACAAGACAAACAAGCGGTAAAAAGGCATCGAGATGAGAGCATGAAGCAAAGACTTGATGTGTTTGCCTCTAAACCCACCAAGACAGTAAAGCTGTGAGTTGCCCTTCTTGTACCGATTAGCAGAGAACAGTAGGAAGTGGGAGGAGACAGTAGAAACAGAAAACAGGAGACACTTTTTGGAGCTGTAGTTTGCTTCACACACCATCACTGGTCCTATGGATGAATGCAGGGCTCTGAAAACCTCAGTGCTGGTGGTTGAATTTTCCCAGGTACCTTGGGACCTTCTGATGACACTGCTGCTGCAGTCCAGAGCTGCAGAAACCACTTTACTCTGAGGAAGTCTTCAGGAAGATGCTCGTACAACAACTCAACGTTTTGTTTTGTTCTGCTACCTAACGCATGAGGTCCTCACGACGGTGGCCTGCCAGACTCAGCCTCCTGAGTGCTGGAATCACCACACCCACTTTCAATCTAATAAAAAACTATTTAGGAGATATTTTGTTTTCTGACAAAAACCTAAGAGTCAGCTACTCAAATAGCGGTTGACCATCTTTTGGGAACTGCTATGTTCTATCCCAGTTTGAGTTTTCTACTTTTCCAGAAAGTTTGTTGAGGATGTGTGGTAATGAGAAAGTAGAAGTGTAACTTTATGACCTACTTTCTCAATACACTATGTAGATTAGATATGCTGGGGTCACCTCTCAGGTGGAACTGGGAACAGCTGCTACAAGATTCAGAATCTTTCTTAGGCCGGAAGCAGTTATGTGAAATCACGAAGGGCAGGGCACGGACATGCGACAAGAGCAGGGCGGAGGGCTGCCGGGGTGCCAGCGGCATCCTGGGACCAAGGGCAGCGGGGCGTGGCCTCCGGGACTCGGCCTCGGATCCAGCCTCCCGGAGGCGGCGCCTTTAAGCGGAGCCCGCAGGCTGGAGCCGGCTGGCGCTCACGTGACCGGGCGCGGCTCGCTCGCGGAAGAAGGCGGCCCGCTGCCCCGCGCCGGGATGGTGCATCTGTACAACCTGCACCCGTTCGGGTCGCAGCAGGTGGTCCCCTGCAAGCTGGAGCCCGAGCAGTTCTGCGCCGGCGGACGCGACGCGCTGTTCGTGGCGGCGGGCTGCAAGGTGGAGGCGTTCTCGGTGGACGGCCGGGAGCTGTGCCGGCCGCGGTGCGCCTTCTCCACGCTGGGCAGGGTGCTGCGCATGGCCTACAGCCAGGAGGGTGAGCGGGGCCGGGGCGGGCGCCCCTGGGCTGCGAGCGTGGGATGGGCACGGTGGGCGGGGAAGGGACTCTGCTTCCCCAGCGTGCTGGCAGCTGATAGCGGAAGGTGTGCTGGGAGGCGCGGTTGTCATAGCAACCGCAGGTAGGCTAGCGTTTAGAGGGCTGAGTGCGTCTATGCCCTGAAGCCGTGGGTTTGATCCTCAGCACTTAGCTGCGTTGCTTGTAATCTCAGTACTCGGGAGTTGGAAGATGGAGGATCAGAAGTTCAAGGTCATCCTCCAGTACTCTGTGAGTTCTAGGCTAGCCTGGGCTACGTGAGACCCTGTCGCAAAGCAAAGCAAACATCCCACACGGGTATGAGCCTGCTTTGGTAGTGCGAAGACACTGACGGATCCCCTTCCCATCCTGAAAAAAAAAAAAAAAAGCCTGTGATTTTGGGCTGGAGAAATGGCTCATTCACAGGGTTAAGAGCATTGGCTCCTGCAAAGGACCCAGGTTTGGTTCCCAGTGCCCACATCGCATCTAGCAACCGTCCTTAACTGCAGTTCCAGGGGATCTGAGACCCTCTTCTGGTTTCTATGCACTTAAAAAAATTAAAGTCAAAAATCTCAAACTACCTACAAAAGTAGGAGGAAGGAGAGTGATACCCAGAAGGTTATGGTACTTCCAACCAAGAATTATCCCAACTCACAATGAGCCCTTTACACCTATAGTCTCACTTTTGTGGGTAGTTTTTAAAGGCTCATGATGTGTTCTGACTTTAAAAATTTTAAACACAATTCATGTATGTATGTATGTATGTATGTATGTATTTATGTATGTATGTATTGTGTGTGTATGTGACAGAGTATGTTGAGGTCAGAGGACAACTTGTTTGAGTCTGTTCTCTTCTTCCACCATACACAGATCCTGAGGATGGAGACGTATAGGTCCTCAGGCTTGAAGACAAGCTAAGCCACTTCCCCCACCCATTTTCAGATTTTTAAATTTATGTAAGTGGAACTGGGTTTTAGACAACCCTTTATCTCCTTCCTTAATCAGCTCTAGGAACATTGGCTGCTCTTAGCAATACCAAAGCAATTGTGTGGGTAAGTCCCTAAACTTTCAGCATTTGAAAATAAATGACTTCAGATTACAGAAGGATTCACCATTAGATTTTTTCAATTTCCTAATACAGTTCAATTTTAATTACTGCTTGGCTCTCTCTCTCTCTCTCTCTCTCTCTCTCTCTCTCTCTCCCTCTCCCTCTCCCTCTCCCTCTCCTGTCTCTCCTGTCTCTCCTCTCTCTATCTCTCCCTCTCCCTCTCCTATCTCTCCTGTCTCTCCTCTCTCTCTCTCTCCCTCTCTCTCCTGTCTCTCCTGTCTCTCCTCTCTCTCTCTCTCTCTCTCTCTCTCCCTCTCTCTCCCTCTCTCTCCTGTCTCTCCTGTCTCTCCTCTCTCTCCTCTCTCTCACTTTCTCCTTTCCATATAGGGTCTCACTATCTAGCCCTGACCGGCCTGGAACTCTATACAAACCAGGCTGTCCTCACAATCTCAGATCTGCCTGCTTCTGCTCCCAAATTCTGGAATTAAAGTGCCAACACACCCTGCTTGATCCCTGCTTTTTGCTAGGGGTGTAAAGTGCATAATTTAGGATGTGAAAACTGATCCTGCAGTACTAAAATGAAGAGCACGATCTTGCAGAATTGGCGATCACCCCACAGTCTCTACTCTAGCTTGTTTGGTGTGGGCCGACAGAAGACTTTGGGTCTCTGTTTTTGTTTTTTGTTGTTCATTTTTAAGTAAGTTGAATTATTAGATCAGCAATTTCCAGACATTGGGATTTTTTATTTTTCTTTTTAATTTTTTAAAATTATTTTTATTTTATGTGTATGAGTGTATTGCCTGCATGTTTGTGAGTGCACCCATGTTGTGCAATGCCACGGAGGTCAGAAGAGGGTGTTGGATTCCCCTTGGAACTGGAGTTAAGGACGGTTCGTAGCCTCCATGTGGGTGCTGGGAATCAAATCCAGGTCCTCTGTAAGAGCAGTCAGTGTTCTTAACCACTGAACCATCTCTCCAGCTCCAACATTGGGATGTTTTAAAATCAAAAACTTTGGGGCTACTATACATAGTACCTAATGATTCATTTTGTTAAGTAAAGATAGATTATTTCAAAAAAAGGATGGCCCTGCTAGTTACTGTGACCATTATTTATAAAAGAAAGAAGAAAAGAGTATTTCTCCCAACCTGTAGTACATTTGGCAACTTCCTACCTCATTTTTATTTTCTCTTTGACCAGTGACATCAGCAGCAGAGACCTTCACAACAGTCTACAGACCTGTGAAAACCAGTCATTAGCTCTTCCTTTGGACAGGAAGATTCTGGTTTTGGTTTGTTTTTTAATGGAAGCCATCTCTCTTGGTCATGTTTCTTTATAGTATTGGTGGTTTCCCCCACTCTTTTAGGCATAGAAATTTTCACCTTCAAGAGTTCTGTCGAGTGGCAAAATCAGCCGTTTAAGCGTGCGTGCTTGCGTGTGTGTAAATAAAGAGTCTCGGGGCTGGAGAGGTGGCTCAGCAGTAAAGAGCACTGACCGCTCTTGAAGAGGACCCGAGTTCGATTCCCAGCACCCACATGGCGGCTACAAACCGTCCTTAACTCCAATTCCAGGGGAATCTGAAGCCCTCTTCTGACCTCCGCAGCATTGCACGACATGGGTGCACTCACAAACATGCAGGCAATACACTCGTACACTAAAATAAAAATAATAAATAAAAATTAAAAAAAAAGAGTCTCAAAGACACAGATTATATTTACATGATTTGCCCCGTTCTAAATTGACATTTACTTTAAAATTTGAAGTGGCAGGCATTGTACAACTTTCTGGTTTGCTCGCATGTCATTAGTTTTGATTCCTGGGAACTTTGGATGAATAGTCACTACTTGTGCCTAAGAATGACTTGGGAGCTTAAGGAAAAAAAAAAAACAAAAAACAAACTCCATTCCTGGGCCACACCTTCAGAATTGGTGTTAGTTTCCCTGGAATGAGGCTGTCATTGGAGTGGTGGAATGCTTAGCCAGGACTGAGGACCAATGACCGGAGCCACACTGGTTGAGGAGATTATGAGCACTAAACTGGTAACCCCATTAAGGAAGCCTTGAAGAACAAAGATGTTTTTATAATCAACTTGGCTGCCTGAAAGACGTTCAGGAGTCACATGGGATGGCATTAGTACTGTGGGCCGCATAGTTCAAAGGTAACTTTCGGTCCACAGCTTGAACTTCAGCTTCTGGGTACGTCTCTTAAACCATGCATAACTAAACAGGACTGACTCCTGGCTATGCCAATATCCAGAAAACTTGTCCTTGACTTCCCCATTGGCCCCCTTCTCACCAGGTGGGACCTGGGGATTTCTGTTCTCAGTGCCCAGTGTCCTTTGCTAGCAAATCCTCAAAAACCAAGATAACTTCTGTATTTTTATTTACTATAAATGTTTTTTCCTGACTCTTACTCAAGCACAGACCCATTTTCAGTTTGTTTTCTTTTTAATCTTGGGTCAGCCAGTGCTGCTCTCCTTTTGTAAAGTGTGGGTGCTGTGTTAGTCAGACTCTGGGTCACTGTGGCCAAGTATAGCATAAGTGATTTAAGAGATTGTGGATTTATGTTGTTCACAGTTTGAGAGGTTTCTATCCATTGTGGTGGGAGGGCATGATGGGATACCTCACATCATAGTGACCAGAGGGAGAGAGAAGAGGTAACAGGAAATGGCCAGGGCAAGCTAGACCTCCCAGATGTCCTCCTGCAACAGTGACCTCCTCTAGCCAGACCTCATGTTCTACAGTTCCACTTCGCCCTCTACCAGTCTTCAAAATTTAAATTAGCAATGGATCAAACATTCCTTAGGTCAGAGCTTTCATGGTCTGATCATTTCTGGAAATGTCCTCACAGGTAAACCCAGAGGTGTGCTCCCCGGTGTTTCTCAGTTCAGTCAAGTTGACAAGATAAACCATTGTAAGGGCATTAGAGAGAAAGCAAGGAAAAATTTGGAAGGAAAGTTTTCAATGTTTTAAAATTTACTTTAGGCAGTATGTGAAGAGGACGGGTAGCTGACAGCTCCCCATCCCTAGGTGAGGCCAGGTGGCTGGTGCCAAGGGTAGTGTGGACAACCCTGTTGCTAGACCTGTGTTCATGGAGATTTGAGTGTGATGGGATAGGGAGGACAGGGCCACGTAGCTCTCTTTACCTGCTCTTTAGTGCAAGTGTACTCAACTACCTTGCCTGTTGACCCTGCCCAAGCCCGACCCTCTCTCAGGTGTTTTGAAGTCTTAAAGCATATTCTGATGCTTCATATCTTATCAGTGATTTTTTAAAAATATATTTTATTATTTGTATTTTATGAGTATGAGTGTATAGCCTGTATGTATATAAGTGCACTCATATCATGCAATGTCCAGGGAAGTCAGAAGACACTGTCAGATTCCCTGGAACTGGAGTTACAGACAGTTGTTAGCCACTATATGGGTGCTGGGAATCAAACCTGGGTCCTCTCCAAGAGCAGTGAGCGCTCTTAACCACTGAGCCATCTCTCCAGTCCCCTTTTTACTGCTTTTGATAACAATTTTGTCATAAAGGTGTAAGTTTTAAAAAAATCTACTCTATTAACTAGATTTATGATCTTGTTAGATAAAAGGGAATGTTTACTTATTTTTAAAGATCAATTCACAAGAAC